AGGGAGGAGCAGGAGCAGGCAGGAGCAGCAGGAGGAGCAGGAGCAGCAGGAGGAGCAGCAGGGAGTCCAGCGGCAAGGGCAGTAGCAGGAGCAGCAGGAGCAGCAGGGGGAGGAGCAGGAGGAGCAGCAGGACAAGCAGGAGGAACAGCACGAGGAGCAGCGGCAGGAGCACCGGCAGGAGCAGCATGAGAAGCAGCAGCCCGAGGAGGACCAGCAGGAACAGCACGGGAGGAGGAGGAGGAGGAGGAGGAGGAGGAGGAGGAGCACCAGCGGAGGGGCAGGAGGCACCAGAGCAGCGGCAGGAGCAGCAGGAGCAGCAGGAGCAGCAGGAGCAGCAGGAGCAGCAGGAGCAGCAACAGCAGCAGCACCGCATGCCACGCGTTCCTGCCATTCCAGGCGAACCGGATGCTGGCGAGCGGCGCAGCATGCTCGTGAGCATCAAAGCATGCCTGTCAGCACCACAGACCGCCCGTGAGCACAGCGGGCCATACCTGATGGGAAGCTGGCACCACCCACGCGTACGTTCGATACCGTTGCGGCGGGAGGGGGGGGCGACCCCCCCGTCACGGCTTTTATGGGTTCAACTACTCATGAACCCGGCGCGACACAATTACGTAGGGGAAAGCTTCATATTGCATGGGCGCAGTGTTTGGCATTGCTTGGCATTGTTTCGCATTGCTTGGCATGGCTTGGAATTACTTGGCATTGCTTGGCATTGCTTCGCATTGCTCCGCATTGCTGCGTATTGCTTCGCATTGCTTCGCATTGCTTTGCATTGCTTCGCATTGCTTGGCATTGCTTAGCATTGCTTTACATTGCTTGGCATTGCTTGGCATTGCTGCGTTGATTCGCATTGCTTCGCGCTGCTTCGCACTGCTTCGCATTGCTTGGCATTGCTTGGCATTGCTTGTCATGGCTTGCCATTGATTGGCATTGCTTGGCGAACCTGGGGAAGCCGAGGAACCCGAGGAACCTGGGGTACCCGGGGAACCCGAGGAACCCGGGGACCCTGAGGAACCCGGGGAACCCGGGGAACCCGAGGAACCCGAAGAACCCGGGGAACCCGGGGAACCCGGGGAACCCGAGGATGATACTAAGGACCCCGAGGAACCTCTGGGGCAACGGGCAACGTCAGAGTCGGAGGCACCGAGGGCGAGGGACCCGGGGAACCTCCGGGCAGCGGGCCACGTGCCCCCCCGAGGCATTATTCTTCTTAGCCAAGTAAGGACCCCTTAGGCAAGCCCAATTGGGGAACAGAAGCAGTCGCGATGGACACTTCGTCGGAGTGACCCTCTGTGCGGGTCCAGAGGACCCCCTACCACTGAACTGCGCGCTTGGATTTGACTCCCCCCTCCCCGCGTCCGGCCCCTCAAAAACTGTGCATCTTGCGCCAGCCACTACAACCTGTTACTCTTATCTCTGGTCACTCTTGCGTGTAGCCGATTGGCAAGCGGGCGTGCTGTTTTGAAGAGGTTGATTAAGTTTGGAACACGATCAGGCCTCTCCTGCCTCTCTAGCGTTGAACTTCTTCGCCTGTGTATGGGCCTCAAGGTTTTGAAGGCAGTCAACCTCGCCGCTCGCGGGTCGCCAGCGGGTTTGGGCAAGGCTCTCGCCTGTGCGGCTCTCTTCTTTTCCAGTCTTTCCTCTAGCAGTGGCCACAAACCTTCTCCCCACTCCCCACAGACGTCCCAGAATCCCAGCGGGGCCCCACAGAGGCCCCAGAGAAGTCCCCGAGAGGCCCCCCAAATATCATATCCCGAAGAGGCACCGAGCATGCTCCCAAGAGCCGCCGTGGAAAGCACCCACTGCCGTGACGGTTCCTTGCCCTGCGATTAAGAATGTGTTCAGGCGGGGGGTCGATCAAGGGGGAAGGAGAGGGATAATGAGGATAACGACAAGGAGGATGATGGGAGGGGTGCCAGGGTCATCGTGAAGGAGGGCGAGAAGTCGGAGGACAAGGAAGAGGCGGGGCAAGGATGAGGATGAGCAGGAGGTGGATCATGGAGGAGGACGACACTGACGAAAAGGAGTAGGACGAGGGGGGATATGGCGAGGATGATACTGATGCGGAGGGAGAGGAGAGGGAGAAGAAGGACAGGAGGAAGGACACTTAACATGATACGATCATGGTGTTGATCATGGCGAGTGTGAGGAGAGTGAGGAGGGATATAAGGGCGTGGAGGAGGAGCAGTAGCAAGGGGAGGATGATACGGGGGTGCCGAGGGAGGGAAAGGAGGAGGAGGAAGGAGGAGGAGGAGGAGGAGGGGGACAAAAAGTGTGACGGGAGAAGAGGGTCAGGGGCAGGGAGTGGATGGGTAGGAGGCACAAGGTGGAGGACGAGTGAGGGAGAATGGAGAAACTGGAGGAGACTACCGCCTACAAAGCGTGTGATAGCATTCGCCTGGAGCTTTCGCCTTGAACCTCAGTGCGCGCCAAACGATCAGTGGCGTAGAGATCACCTGCAATTGGTTCGAGGCAAACAGTAGCATGCAATATCGCAGCAGAACTGGCTGGCACGAGGACAACATACAATGATTAATCCAATACTCGAGTAAAGCTTGCCGCTGAATCTTCATCTTTTGCACAATGCTTGGTCTGTAACATCTGATGCTAGCGCATGGAGCCTAAGCGTATGGCAACACGCGTAGACGCCCATGTGGCCGATGTGTGTGTGTGTGGATCCTCAGGACCAGTGGGGGGAGGGGACCGCGTAAGGATCCATAGGAACACAGAGGGAACGAAGCAGCCACCGCAGAATGTGCGACACACGGAGAGAGGGGAGCCATAGGGGTCCACAGGAGCCAATGGGATACGAGCAGCCACTGCGGCGGAACTTGCGGCCCTCGGGGCTACGGGGGTGGTGTGGCGGAGGCGAATCCATCCATGGTATCCAAGCAGCCACCGCTGAAAGTGCGGTCCACGGAACAAGCGGGGTTGGGGGAAGCCGTATGGGGTCCATCCATCCCCTGGACGAAAGTTTTTCCTCTTGGGCCTTGGGCGACGGTTTGAGGTCTTGAGCAGACGCGTACGAGATAACCGCCGCGGGATTCAAGTAAGTTTGCGCGGATCCAGTTTTGGTTCTGGTTTCTGTTTCGGTGGATCCGATTTCTGCGCGCGCGGGTCCGGTTTCGGATTTTCTGGATCCGCGCCCCGTCCTATTTTTTCACTGCGGATACGATTTCTTTCCGTTTTATATTTGTACGATTCAATTAGAACGGGGAGCCGGACGATATCGGATCCGCGGACCCGGGAACCCGCCCGTGTTTAAGATTCTACGGGGGAGGGGGGGTCGGCCATCAATTTCCTAAGATGGGCCCTGCGCTGTCTCACGCACTCCAATCAACTTTCTACGAGCGCGGGCCCCACTCAAAATGAATGCATCTCTCTCCTCCCAGTTGCTGCGCGCAGCTCGTCCAGATGCCGTCCGTTCGGCGGCGCCGATGTTATATCGCGAGCTACTCATCGCCATTCTCACCTTGAGCGGAAAACCTTTCGTCCTGCGTAAGTAGGAGCCCATAGGGGTCCAATCAGGCACCGCAGAACAAATGAGAAAAAATCGGCCCACGGGACCCCAGGGATCCATGGGTACCCACAGGCATCCAGGCAGCCGCTGGAAGAAGTGCGGCCCACAGGGCCAGCCCTCCATTACGACGCGAGCACACACACCCAGGTGCAAGCAACGTCTGGGGAAGCTGATTCGTCTTTGCCCCCCGTGCTGAAATCGCTTGGCGGCGCGGTTGCCCATGACCCGCGGGACCCTCCTCCTCCTCCTCCTCCTCCTCCTCCTCCTCCTCCTCCTCCTCCTCCTCCTCCTCCCCCTCCTCCCCCTTCCTTGCCGCGCTGCCCCCCCGCGACCGGATCAGGCCGCCAGGCGCCCCGCTTCGAGCCAGCGCGCAGAGAATCAGAGGGTACGCCGCCGCCCCAGGCCCCCGACGCCGTGCTGTTTTCGCCCAGAGGTCTGGATCCCTTCCCCAGGACCGGTTTTTCGTCCAGAGTTGTTTTTTGACGCTCCCGGGGCCCGGTACGACGCCCCCGTCGCGATTTTTTCGCGACGCGAGGGGGTCTGGGCCGTGCGCGCGTGCGCCCCCGTTCCAGTCAGCCCGAAGCCGCCAGGGCGCCCCTCGGACCCCATGCGCCGCACCCTGCGCCGCCCCGCCGCCCTGCTGGCCGCCTGGTGCGCCGCCCTGCCGCTCTCCGGGGCGCGGCGCGCGCCGCGGCTGCGGCCGCCTCGCGGCGCGGCGCCGCGGGCTCATCTCGAGGGCCCCGGCCCCGACCACGACGGCGCCCGCGCCCGCCTGGCGGCGGAGATCAACGGCCGCCAGGGCGTCCTTTGGACGGCCGGGGTCAGCCCGCGCTTCTCGGGCCAGCCCGTCGGCGCCTCGGCGGCGCTCTGCGGCGCGCGGCGCACGCCCCAGGAGTCCCTGCGGCGGGCGCCCGGCGCCCCGCAGGTGGCCGCGCCGCCCGCCTCCACGCCGCTGCCGGGGCGCTTCGAGGCGGCGCAGGCCTGGCCCGCGTGCGCTTCGGTGATCTCGGAGGAGGGCGGGTGGCGAAGGCGGACTCCTCGTTCTCCTCCTCCTCCTCCTCCTCCTCCTCCTCGTCCTCGTCCTCGTCCTCCTTCTCCTATTCGTCCTCCTCCTCCTCCTCCTCCTGCTGCTGCTGCTGCTGCTCCTCCTCCTCCTCCTCTTCCTCCTCCTCCTCCTCCTCCTCCTTCTCCTCCTCCTCCTCCTCCTCCTCCTCCCCTTCTCCTCCTCCTCCTCCTCCTCCTCCTCCTCCTCCTCCTCCTCCTCCTCCTCCTCCTCCTTCTCGTCGTCCTCCTCCTCCTCCTCCTCCTCCTCCTCCTCCTCCTCCTCCTCCTCCTCCTCCTCCTCCTCCTCCTCCTCCTCCTCGTCGGGGGGGCCCTGGAAGCTTCTTGCCGCCAAGGCGGGACCCGCCTCGAGATGCCTGGCATGGGGAGGGGGCGGGCGGGCGGGGGCTGCCAGTAACCTCAGCCGTCCTCCGAGTGATCGGCAACGTGCGCGACCAGTCTGGCTGCGGCTGCTGCTTCGCCTTCGCGGTCGCCGGCGCCGCGGCCGATCGCCTCTGCATCGCCACGGGGGGGAATGTGGCCGTCTCGCTGTCCGAGGAGGAGCTCTGCTTCTGCACGATGAGGAGCCATGGCTGCGGCGGGGGGTACATGGACGAGGCCTGGCGGTTCGTCCAGCTGCACGGGCTCGTCACCGGGAGCCCGCACGTGCGGAACAGCTCTGGCGACGGCATGTCGGGCTTCTGCAAGGCCCGGGTCGGGCGAAGGGGAGGCATTTGGGAGCTGGCGTGTGCGAAATTTGTTCTGTGCGCCGTAGACGCGCTAATGGTGTGTTAGCTAACGGAGAAGTGGGACAACCAACTGTAGGACGGCGTGGTTCGTGGCCAAACCAATTTCAGGAACGCGTCGTTCGCGTTTTCCTACAACTCGCTGTATCGTTTCCGTTGGATCATTCGCACAGTTGACATGCAGGAAACGGTGTTTTGTGACTTCCTACATTTTGTTCTGCGCGAGCTCGGTGTCACAACCATCAGATTCCCAACATCGCCGTTAACCAACACCGCCGTTAGCGCGGCCTTGCACCTGGTTTCAGCCGGAAGCGCGTTGGGTGGGTGGGCGAAATTTGCTGTATGCAGCTGGTCTCGGCCCCGCTGGCGGGCGCCTTCCTCGAGAGCTTGGCGCCTCCGGCGCCGGGAGGCGCCAGCAAAACCAGCTGCGCCAGCGGATTCGCTGGCCCTCCCCTCTGACGTCGCCCTCCTTGGCGTCCGCCCCGCAAGGCCTACTCCTTGCCGCCCTGCTACCACCACACGCCCTCCTCGAAGCGTACCGACGGCTCTCTGCTCTCGTGCCCCCTTGTGGACGAGAAGGACAGCCCCTTGTGCCCGCTCAAGTGCGACGCCGGCGCGCAGGCCCCCTACAACGACTTTGTGCGCCACCGGTGCCAGCTAGACGTAAGAGTGACGTTTCGCCCGAGTGACCTTTCGTGAGGGCCCAATGGAGCCCCCCGATCGCTGCACGCGGAGCGGTAGCAGCGGCTTGCGCGTCCAGGTTTGGCCCCCCCCGGCCTCCCCCGTCGAGCCGCGCACGAAATGTTACTCTTGCCTAGGGTCACTCTTGCGTGTAGCCACAGGTACCGCTTCTCTGGGCAGGTTCAACAGGTCTGCGCCCTTCCGCCGACCCCCAGACAGCGTGAGAATTTTACGTGCCCCCGCCCCCCCTCAAACTGCATTTTGGACTGGTGGGGAGCGGGGGAACGGGGGAGGGGAGCAGCCAATCGTCTTACACGCCTCTTCACCCCCCGCGAGCGGGTGTCGGCGGATTTTGAATTTCCCGACCGGTTGGGGGGCCGAGGAGATCGCCCGGCACATGATGGCCTATGGCCCTTTGCAGACATCCATGGCGGTGTTCCCCGACTTCGAGCTATACGTCTCTGGGATCTACCATCACATCCAGTCCAGGGAGATGGTCGGCTGGCACGCCGTGAAGATGGTCGGCTGGGGCGCAGAGAACGGCGCCGACTACTGGCGGGTGCAGAACAGCTGGAACACGCACTGGGGCGAGGACGGGTACTTCCGCATCAAGCGGGGCGTCGACGAGTGCCACATCGAGGCTGAGGTGCGGGCGAACACGGGCGACAGCAAGTGGGTGGGGCCGGGCGTGCCCAGGGAGTCACGCTGAGGGCCCCGCGACGTTCGGGGAGAGGCGAGGGGAGGAGTACGGCGGCGGTGGAGGCACAAGTTTGCACGGGCCCAGGCGCCCGAGGTCACGGCGAGCGCGCAGCGGGGGCTAGCGAGCGCTGGAAAAATGTCACTGGGAACCTCTCGGGCAGCAGCGGCAGTGGCAGTGGTAGCGGCAGCGGCAGCGGTGCTGGTGGTAGCGCGGCCTGACCGACCCCTAGCGCAAGCCGAGCCCCGCTGTGACGACCCCCTCGCCCCGCTCCAAGACGTGGGCAGGCGTCCGGAGGGGGGCCTCGAGGGTGGCGGGGGTCGTCGTGGAAGGGGTTCGTCACGGAATGGGGTCGGTTGAGCTTCGCCCAGGGTGGGAGTGACAGCGGTGGCTGGTGGGCTTCTGGTGGCGCACAGGTTGCCCACCTCGCTATGCTCAGCCCATGACGCCGCACGAGGCCTGCGGAGCGAGGCTGCTCTCTGAGAAGGCCCATGGAGGAGGAGGAGGAGGAGGAGGAGGAGGAGGAGGAGGAGGAGGAGGAGGAGGAGGTCAAACAACAGTCTTGCTCCGGAAACGCCCCTCGGAGCACGCGGCCCCAGATGCGCCCCCCGTCTCCTCCTTTCAGCTCATGCTTCTCCAGAGGAGGCCCTGGTAGCCCGTCCCATACCACCCCCAGACGGCCCAAGAGCCCCCCCCGATAAGCCCAGACCGCCCTCGGCAGCCCAAGGTGGACTCCAGGCAGCCGAAGCCCGCCCAAAGTGCCGCCAACCCCTGCCATGCTCCGGAAGCGCCCTTCTGGAACACGTGGCCCCAGCTGCACCCCCGTCCCCCTTTCAGCTCCTGGTTCTCTGGAGGAGGTCCCAGTAGTCTTCAGCAGTCCAAGATGGACTCCAGACAGCCGAAGCCCGCCCAAAGTGCTGCCAGTTCCCCGTCATTCTCCAGAAACGCCCTTCCGGAACACGTGGCTAGCGGGTCCTGTAGGGTTGCGACGACGGGACGCCACGACGACGAACACGACGATGACCGCCACCACGAGGGTATCTCGGCGGCGAGCGAGGGGTGGAAGTGAGAAGGGGCGGGCCTTCTCAGAGGGCTCGGAAGCCCCCCAGCCTTCTGAGAAGTTTTCGAAGCCTTCTTCTCCGAAGACTCAGAAGCTGTTCTCAGAAGGCGCCCCGCCGCCTTCTGAGAAGGCCTTCTCCTTCTCACTTCCCCCCCTCGCTCCCCGCCGAGATCCCCCCCCGGCCACCAACACAGGCCAGGAGGGTCCCAAGACGGCAAGACGGTCCAGGAGGCTTCCCAAGACGGGTCCGAGGCCCCCAAATTGGACATCGACTAAAACCTAAGCGCGCGCGAAGCACGCGCGATGGTTTAATATCAATGTGTATGTTCCTATACATATATATATATGTATATACAGATTTAACGACGGAGAGAGGGAAAGAGAGAGAGAGAGAGAAACAAAACACCGGACAACTCGCCCCTTGGCCCTCCGCCAGCCCCACGCCAAGGGGCGAACATATATACGGGCGCAGCACCGCTCTGCATGCGTAGCTTCTGGCGTGGCCAGGCAGGGCACGACCCAACACTGCATCGCGTGGCGCGTGGATGCCCGCACCGACCACGACTCCTCTCAGGCTCTACCTCCGACCCCCCTTTTCGCGAGCTCCTCTTCGTCCTCGTCCTCCGCCCTCCCTCTCACCCATCCCCCCCCCGTCGTCCAATTCCTCCGGCTCCTCCTTCCGCCGCTCCCTCCTTCTCCTACTCCCTCCTCGTCTTCCGCCTCCTCCGCCCTCCTCGTCGTGCACCTTCTCCTCCTCGTCCGACGCCTTTCCCCTCTTCCTCGTCTTCCTACCCCCCCTCCCCACCAGTCTCCCTCTCCCCCCCCTCTCACGACGTAGGTCCTTCCTCCGCCTCCTCCTCCTCCTCCTCCTCCTCCTCCTCCTCCTCCTCCTCCTCCTCCTCCTCCTCCTCCTCCTCCTCCTCCTCCTCCTCCTCCTCCTCCTCTCCTCCTGAGTGCCATCTGCGCCGAAGCCGCAATGGTCGACCCCGCGACATATCCTCGCGACCCCCGTTTTTAACAGCCAGCGAAATATCTTCACACCCCTCGCTTGAAACTGCCAGCGAAATATCCTCACCGCCCTTGGCTTAAAACTACCAGCTAAATATCCTCACCCCCCCGGACTAAAACTGCCAGCGAAATATCCCCACCCCCTGGCCTAAAATTGCCAGCGAAACATCCCCACCCCCCCGACGGGCAAAATATCCTCGCACCCGTGAAACTGCTAACGACATATCCTCATCCCTTGGTTTGAAACTGCCAGCGAAGTATCCCCACCGCCCTGGCTTAAAAGTGCCAGCGGGATGTCTTCACACCCCTCAGCGAAATAGCCAGAACCCCAGACCAACGAACCCGCCGATCACTCCTGACCGCCCGTGCGAGACACATGGTGCTGCTTGGTTACGTTTGGGAACTATCCTCACCGCCCGGCTGAAATTCTGCCAGCGACATTTCCTCACACATCTCGTGTAGAACTGCCATCGACATATCCGCACACCCCTCGCTGTAAGCTGCCAGCGAAATGTCCTCACCGCCCGATGTTTTCAACCTGCCAGCGAAACATGCTTGAACTTGCAAGTGAAGTATCCCCACGCCCTCGCTTGAAACCGCCAGCGAAATATCCGCACACCCCTTGCTTGAAACTGCCAGCGAAGTATCCTCACTCTCCTCGAAACTGCCAGCAACTTTCCTCGCACCCCTGGCTTAAAACTGCCAGCGACATATCCTCACCCCCTGGCTTAAAACTGCCAGCGAAATATCCTCATTATCACTGCCAGCGACATATCCTCACCCCCTGGCTTGAAACTGCCAGCGACATATCTTCAACTCCCGGCATTCTAACCGTCAGCGAAGTATCGCCACCCTTCGAATTCAAACTGCCAGTAGTTATCTTCACCCCCTGGCTTAAAGCTGCCAGCGAAATATCCTCAACCCTTTGGCTTAAACCTGCCAGCAAACAGTCCGCACACCCCTCGCTTGAAAGAGCCAGCGAAATATCCTCACCGCCCCTGGCTTACAACAGATAGCTAAATATCCTCACCCCTGGATTTCAAAATGCCAGCGAAATATCCTCACCTCCCTGGCCTAGAACTGCCAACGAAATATCCTCACCACGTGGCTTAAAACTGCCAGCGAAATATCCTCACCTGCCCTGGCGTAAAACTGGCATATCCGTCCTGAAAGCGCCAGCGAAGTATCGTCACCCCCTTGGCCTAAAACTGCCACCGAAATATCTGTACCCCTGGAAATAGAACTGCCATCCAAGGGCTTATGGTGATTCACTTGTCAGGTCAGTCAGTCAGTTATTCCACCGCTCGAAAATTAAATTGCAGGCTGTGCCCGTAAGGACGGAAGAGAGGAAAAGAGAAAGAGAGAGAGAGAGACGCAAAGGGATAGTGAGAGAGTGAGGGGTTTTGGAAATGAAGAGAGAGGGAGAGAGTGAGAGAGAGAAAGAAAAATAGAAAGACAGAGAGAGAGAGGGCGAGAGAGAGAGAGAGAGTACGACAGCGAGGTGGAACTGTTTTCCAGCAGAGCAGAGTCTTCCGCTGTGCACGGTTCTGCGATGCCTGGAATTTGGCACCGGCATCCCCCGGAAGGCGATGTCGACGGCGGTGCGGGTTCGCTCATTGACCCGCCCAAGGACGCCAGAACTTTTGCTATTCAGCCAGGGCGAGGTGGGCGTACGGCACAACTCCGCACGCGAACCGAATCCTTGGTGTACTTTCGGTGTCGCCGATTGGTTGGCCCAGCGGCGTATGCTTTCCCTGCTTCTTTTTCTGTCCCTCGTTGTTCGTTCTCACCTCCATGTCGCCCCTCGGTAGTATCTTTGTCGAGGGAGTGGGTCGAGAAGATTATGAAGCTGCTCCTCGACCTGGCGGGCTTCAACGAAGCGGTCGTTTTGCGCTTCTCGCTCGCGCATGGCGTTCCGTTCGTCTGCTTCGTCCTCTCAACACTTGAACTTCTGAGGTGCCTCGGAATAGTTGAGGGTTTGGCTATGGTGTTTCACGTCTGACCGCCGATTGATGCAGTTGCTTCTCGTGCTGTGCTGCAGTGGTGGCTTTGCTCAAATCTGTCTCCCGTCTGTTTTCGTACCGTCCGTCTCCAGCACGCAATTCCACTCGCTGTTCTTGCCTACGTCTCTCTTCTAATGGCTCCCTTCCAATGCCCTTTCTGGCGCGGATCAGAGACACCCCAGGGCTCGACCTGAATGGTATTTTGACGATTGTTGTGGGCAGTTTTCGTGGTGACTCCGTCGTGCAGCAAAGGAGGGGCGAAGACAAAACGAGGGCATTCGAAAGCAACACGAGGTCGACATACAACACTGCTTAGGCCGATCCCGGGGACACCCTCCCGGCCTCTCTTCCTTCGGGGGCGGACAGAACCCCCAACAGTGACACGCCGACTCGTGGATTGTCCGTTTTCGGTTCTCGAGAGGGCGCCCCGGCCGTCGTTTTCAGTCTTGCGCCCGCCAGGCTTGGGCCTCAGGTCGTTTTCACGAAACCACGTTTTGGTGAAGGGGCTGCCCGAAATGGGTACGGAAAGAATGGGTACGATGCCCAATAGCAGTTCCTGTTCCTTTTGAACAGGACTCGCTGTCCGCGCCGCCGCGGCCTGTGTCCATTCGAGACAGAAGGCCGCCCGCCCAACAGCGGCCGCTGTTGGTTCGGGACAATATTTGCTGCTGGGCATTGTGCCCATTGTTTCCGTATTCATTTCGGGTGTGCAAAAAGGGGGGTCTGTCCATCCCCGATTCTTGGCCGCCCCCACGCGTGCCTCTCCCGCATGCCCCATTGGCCCCGAGCCTGCGCGCCGCGCGCCCCTCTCCCGGTCCGCGCACCGCCAGCGCGCGCCTGACGAGCGACGAGCTCATAAGCGCGAGCCTCCTCCTCCTCCTCCTCCTCCTCGCCTTCCTCCTCCTCCTCCTCCTCGCCTTCCTCCTCCTCCTCATCCTCTTCCTCCTCCTCCTCCTCGCCTTCCTCCTCCTCCTCCTCCTCCTCCTCCTACTCCTCCTCCTCCTCCTCCTCGCCGCCTCCTCCTCCCTCTCCGCTTTTCCTCCCACCTCTCCTCATGATTCATCGTCCTTTCCTCTTCCCCCCCCCTCCTCCTCCTTCCTCCTCCTCCTCCTCCTCCTCCTCCTTCTCCTCCTCCTCCTCCTCTCCTCCTCCTCCTCCTCCTCCTTCTTCTCCTCCTCCTCGTCTTCCTCGTCCTCCTCCTCCTCCTCGTCTTCCTCGTCCTCCTCGTCCTCCTCCGCCTCGCCCTCCCGACGAGCTCGTGGCGCAGCAGGGAAACGCTGGATGAAGACGGGCACGCTCGGGTCCCTCCGCTCCCGTGGCCGCGGCCACGAAGGGGCGGAAGCCCCACCCGCGCCCAGCGTGAACCCAGGCGCTTGTTTTCGACCAAATCAGGGTTACGACGCTGGTCGATCGACTTCGGTCTGCGCCTCCGCCGTGTTGATCACGGGGGCGGGCACCTCTGCCCCGAGCCCCGCAGCTCCCGCGTGCACGTTCGGGCCGTCTCTGCCTCGGCCTGCCTGCTGCTGCCTGAGCTCTCCAGGCACGGCGCCCGTGCTCCCGAGCGTCCCCGCCGCCAGCCAGACTCGAGGAGGAGGAGGAGGAGGAGGAGGAGGAGGAGGAGGAGGAATGCCCTTTCGCCGGAGTGACCTCTGGTGCGGGCCCAATGGGGTCCCCCGATCGCTGAACGCGAAGCGGTAGCAGCGGCTTGCGCGCCCAGGTCTGGCCACCCCGCGCCCCCCGTGTGGCCGCGCACCACAGGCCACTCTTATGCCCAGGGTCGCTCTCACGTGTAGCCGACAGACCCACGCTCCGGCCGCGGAGAGAGCGCGGCGAGCTCTCCCACCGCTTGCCCAGGAGGCAGGCCGTCGGGCGGCGCCGCGCCGGACACCCCCCCCATGGCGCTCTGCGCGCGGGAGCGCCGCCAGCACACGGCGCGGGGCAGCTGCGTCGGAGGGCTGGCTCGGTCGGGGCATGCCGTGGCCCAGTCGTCGACGCACGGCCACGCGCAGAGCGGGGCAGGGGGAGGCAGAGGAGGAAAAGGTTCCCATACCTCTTCCCTTTCCTCGTTTTCTTCTTCTTGGGCCTCCTCGGAGGTCCTCGTCGCCACCGCTGGATTCGCCCCGAAAGTCTGGTCAGAACGCGCCCCAGACGAGGTCCGGGGAGTAGTGGCATCGGTACCTTTTGGTTTCCCCAGGTGCAGGGGGAGGGGGGAAGGCTTCTTCGAAGCACCCCTGCTCCTTAGCAGGCGCGGGCCTTGTCTGTAGATGTAAGGGCCGGTGCCTTCTAAGAAGCAGCCTCCTTCTAAGAAGCCTTCCCCCCCCCTCCCCCTGCCCCCCTGTGCGCGCCGCCAGTGGACGCACGGTCTGGATTTGTCGACGAAGCGCAAGCATGGACTGAGGCGCGTGGGGCAGCGGCGGGTCCCGCTTCCATGCGTGACCTGCGCGCTCCGTCGCCACATCGGGCGGCACCGGCCTCACGTTTCGGGGGCTGCTCCCTCATCCGAGGCGCGGAGGGGTCCCCGGTGCACGTCAGCGTGTGCCGGAGGATGGTGGGGCTCTGGCACTCGGGAGCTTTGAGACGGGGGTCAATGCAGACGGGGGTCAACCAGGGCGCCGAATCCTGCAGGATCCTGCGAAGACCCCCTCTGGCTGACCCGGGTTAGCGAGCCGCTCGTGGCCGCGAGGCGGCCGCGCATATTGGCTGACCCGGGTTTGCGAAGACCTGCGCTGCATTTTTTTTTTCCTGCATTGCAGTTTTTGGTTTCCTGCTGACCCGGGTCTGGATTGACCCGGGTCAGAAGATCCCCGAGGCACGCGACTGCACGCGGGGCCGTCGGGCGTGGTCTGCGCACGGGGCCTGTCGGAGTGTCGCCACGGGCCTCGTCGTCAGAAGGAGGCCGCTCCTGCGTCGCTTCGACGAGGGCGCTCCCGCAGTTTCAGAGCGCTGCTCCAGGGCGTGCGGGGCATCCGCGCTGGGCCGGCCCTGCGCCCACCCTCTCCACTGCGGACCCGTCCAGAAAGACACCCCGTGCCAAGTGCACGCCTCTCCGTGAGCGGGCGAGCGAGGTTTCCGCGACCGATGCGGTGCTGCGCGGATCGTGCCAGCCGCGCCGTGCTGCAGCGGGCCCTTTGAGCACGGCCCGCCGCAGCTCCACTCGGCGGCCTGGCACCCGAGGCCGTTGGAGCTGGCCTCGCCCCTCCCCTCCTCCCCCTCCACGGCTCCAGAGGGTCTGGAGCCCTCCTCCCCCTTCCCTTCTTCCCTCCCCCCCCCCTCTTCTTCCTGCCCCCCCCCCCTTACAGTTTCAGTGATCTATCGCGCCCGTGATGAAGGGTCACAGGTGCCACTGGAGTTCAATGGAGTGCTCGCTTGCGTGGTTGTTCATGGAGTTGGGGCTCTCGCGCGCGCTGCGGAGGAAAAAACCAAATTCTTCCTGCCTCCCCCTCTTTCCTCCTCGCCTGGCTCCCCCGCGCCCCCCCCCCTTCCTTCCCCTCGCTCCTCCCCCCGTGGCAGGAGGCGGCTCCCCTAACTGAGAAGGGCCCCGCCGACCCCAATGAGGGTAATCCGAGCGAGGTTTCATAATGCCAGGGATATTTTCACGAGATGTGTGCCATCCGCCCGTCTCAGTGATCGGTCCCGCTTGCCAGGAAAGCCCCCTAGATGGGATGCGGCGGCTAGTGGCCCAGGAAGGCCGAACTCCCATTGTGACGGCAACCCGGGTGGGCTATTCGATCCCAGCCGATCAGCCGATCAGCCGATCAGGCGCCTACCAGCCGATCAGCCGATCAGCCGATCAGCCTGATCGGCTGATCGGCTGATCGGCTGGTCGGCGCCTGATCGGCTGATCGGCTGATCGGCTGATCGGCTGGTCGGCGCCTGATCGGCTGATCGGCTGATCGGCTGATCGGCTGGTCGATCGCTGATCGGCTGATCGGCTGATCGGCTGGTCGACCGCTGATCGACTGATCGGCTGATCGGCTGATCGGCTGATCGGCTGGTCGGCGCCTGATCGGCTGATCGGCTGATCGGCTGGTCGATCGCTGATCGGCTGATCGGCTGATCGGCTGGTCGACCGCTGATCGACTGATCGGCTGCCGTCCGGTTCCCCTTGAGACATCCTCGCAGCTCCGGGCTCAGAGGTCTCCTGACCCGAGATGGTCGGGCCAGTCTCGCCTGCGACATCTTCCTGTCTTTGGGTTCGGAGATGCCCCGCACGAGGTGGTCCATCCAATTCCGTCTGAGACCTTCTCGCAAGTCCAGGCTCAGAGATCCCCTGACCTGAGGTGGTCGGGCCAGTGTCGCGTGAGACATCCTCGCAACTCCGCGCTCAGAGGTCCCCTGACCTGAGGTGGTCGGGCCAGTTCCGCCTAAGGCATCCTCGCAACTCCGGGCTCAGCGATCCCTTGACCTGAGGTGGTCGGGCCAGTCTCACGTGAGACATCCTCGCAACTCCGGGCTCAGAGATTCCCTGACCTGAGGTTGTCGGGCCAGTCTCGCCTGAGACATCCTCCCATCTTTTGGCTCGGAGATGCCCCGCGCGAGGTGGTCCGTTTCCTCGCTCATTTCTCTACTCTCTCTCTTTCTTTCTGTCTCTCTCTCTCACTCTCTCTCTCTCTCACTCTCTCTCTACTCTCTCCTTTCCCTTCAATTTAGTTATCCTCGTTCCTTGTCGTCGTCGTTGTCGTAGCGTCCGCTTTCTTCCGAACACATTTTTGCTCGAGATCTTCACGTCGATACATCGATTTTCAATTCCATTCCACTTCTTAAGATCGAAGACGCCTACGGCGAATCACCGCCGCCCCCTGCCTTTTTGGAAGCGCCTATGTGGCCGAACGTTGAGGCCAGACCTGCCAAGCTATCGGACCACGTGTTCCCCGAATCGGTTTGGAAAGCCTTCGGGGAACACGTGGGCATCTTGAAGGTCATCTTGGCCGTCTTGGAGGCCTCTTGGGCAAGCTTTGGGCGATCTTTGGGGCTTTTTGGGCCGTCTCGGGCCAGCTTCGAGCCAACTTCGGCCATCTTGGTGGGTTCCTGGCACGTCTGAAGCCGTCGGAAGCCGTTTGGGGGGCCTCTATGGGCCGACTTGGGGCCCGCTTGGAATGCTCCAGGGCCGTCTTGGAGGCCATCTTGGGCGTCTGGGAGGCCATCTTGGGCGTGTTGGAGGCCTCTTGGGCCCTCTGGGGGCCCTCTAGGGGCCATCTTGGAGGCCACTTGGGCCATCATGGGGCTCTCTTGGGGGCCTCTTGGGCGATCTTGGGGGCTTCTTGGGCCGTCTTGAGCCGTCGGAGAGCCGAAAAGGCGCAAATGCCAAAATCCTTCAAAAACCAAGGGAAGATCAATGATTTTGGCCTCTTCGGACTCTCCTGGAGGACCTCTTGGAGGCCTCTTGGGCCGTCTGGGAGGCCTCTGGGGGGCCTCTTGGGCCGTCTTGGGCCGTCTTGGACTCTCTTGGGCCGGTTTGGAGGCCGTCTTGGACCATCTCGGGCGGACTTGGAGGCCATCTTGGGCCATCTTCGCGATTGTTTGAGGATGTCCCGAGCGAAACGGCCGTTTTTGGGCATTGAGGGATGGGTTTTCCGAAATTTGCGGGTGGCCGGCGGGACGGGCCGAAGCCCACTGGGGAGTTCTTTTAGAAAAAGAACCAAAACCAAAACCTGAGTCATCCAGCACGCCGTGCACCCCTGCAAGCAGGGGGCGGCGGATCGAAGACGCCTACGGCGAATCACCGCCGCCCCCTGCCTTTTTGGAAACGCCGATGTGGCCGAAAGTTGGACTAGAGCTTGGCCAAGCTATCGGACCATGAGTTCCCCGAGTCGGTTTGGAAAGCTTTCGGGGAACACATGGGAGAGAATGATTATGAACAGGAAGAGGAAGAGGAAGAAATAGAGTAGGAGGATGAGGGTTGTTAGGAGTCTCTTGGGGCACCCTTGGGGTCTGTTGGGGGCTTCTTGGGGGCCTCTTGGAGGCCTCTTGGAGGCATCTTGGGGGCCTCCTTGGGCCTCTTGGGGGCCTTTGGGGGCTTCCTGGGGGTCTCTTTGGCCGTCTTAGGGCGTTCCTGGTCCGTCTGACGCCGTCTGGAGCCGTCTTGGGGGCCTCTCTGGGCCGTCTTGGGGCCCTCTTGGGGCGCTTCAGGGCCGTCTTGGAGGCCATGTTGGGCGTCTTGGAGGCCTCTTGGGCCGTCTTGGGGCGCTCTTGGGGCCGTCTTGGGGGGCCCTTGGGCCGTCATAGGGCCTTCTTGGAGGCCTCTTGGGCGATCTTGGGGGCCTCTTGGGCCGTCGGAAGGCCGAAAAGAAGAAAACGCAAAAAACCTTCAAAAACCTAAGGAAAACCAATGATTTTGGCCTCTTCGGGCTCTCCTGGAGAACGTCTTGGAGGCCTCTTGGGCCATCTTGGAGGCATCTTGGGGCCATCTTGGCCGTCTTGGAGGGCATCTTGGGCCGTCTTGGAGGCATCTTGGAGCCATCTTACCCGTCTTGGAGGCCATCTTGGCCGTCTTGGAGGCATCTTGGAGGCCATCTTGGGCCATCTTGGCCGTCTTGGAGGCCATCTTGGAACCGTCTGGGGCAGGAAATTGGGGAATTGAGCTCCTGGGCATCCTTTCCGGGTGGCCGGCGGGACGGGCCGAAGCCCACTGGGGAGTTCTTTTAGAAAAAGAACCAAAACCAAAACCTGAAACGTCCAGCACGCCGTGCACCCCTGCAAGCAGGGGGCGGCGGATCTAATGGCCTTCGGCTCATCCCGCCACCGTGCCCAGGCTGTGGGGGCCCCGTGGTGGCCTCTTGGGTGCCTCTGGGGGCTTCCCAGGGGCTTCTCGGGGCCGAGGGCTCGAATTGTCCGTTCGGATTCCCCGTTGGGGCGTCCTCTGGGATCCGTCTTCGGCCTCTCTTGGGCCGTCTTGGTGGCCTCTTGGGCCGTCTTGGTGCCCTCTTGGGCCGTTTTGGGATCTCTTGGAGATTTCTTGGGGCGACAGATTGGGTTCGGGACCCGAGTATACGCCCATTCCGTGCAATGGCACGGTGGCAGATTCTGGCGTGCCTACCGCCGTAGGCCCTTCCAGCTGCGAGGGTGCATTCGGCAATCGCCTACGGCAACCAATCGCCTACGGCAACCCCCGCCGTTGCGTACAAGGAGGGGGGGAGGAGGCACGCGCCAGGAGGACGCAAGGGTAACGTCAGGGAAGGGAGGCAGCGAGTGGAGAAAACGAGATTCAAGTTGGAGCAGTGAGCAAGTGGATGGCCAGGACAGGAGAGTGAGGAAGTGGAAAGAGGAGGAGGAGGAGGAGGAGGAGGAGGAGGAGGAGGAGGAGAAGGAGGAGGAAGAGGATGAAGATGAGGGAGAGGGGGAGGAGGAGGAGGAGGAGGGGGAGGAGGAGGAAGAGGAGGAGGAACAGGAGGGGGGTGATTTTTGCACCACGCCCGACTGGCCTACCAGGGGCCTAGTTCTCGGATTGCTACAATCCGCAACCGTGCTGCTTGACGTGGGCGGTGGTGCCGTGACAGCGCCGAGCAGCAGCGACGTCGCGGCTTGGCTGACGTCCGGTGATGGGGCCAGCGCTGGACCCCTCCGTGACGACTACCTGAAGGTAGTGGCGGGCCTTGGGCAAAGGCCATTCGATTGCCTGTCAGTTCCAAGCCTTGTGCCAGCGTAGCGGGAACTCTCGTTCAGTAAGCTGCCCTGCCAGACAACCCCAACGGCTCCCGACATGCCCGGCCATGAAAACAAACATGGTGACGGATTGCGCCGTATGTCCACATCGTATGGCGTGTCGCGGAGAGACGAAACTGGAAGCGAGCGCTCGACGCTGAGCTTGGCGCTCGCCCTGAAAACGGCGATTCTGGAGCGCGCCGTCGACCAGTGCCAGGATTTCCTTTCGAAGACTCATGCGTCCACAGCAGAGAGGTATCCATTTCTCGGCTGGCTCTGCAGTCCACGCCTGGGCGGGAAGATCACCGGCAAATCTGATGCGCAGCGGTGCCGGGAGCTCGACCTCAGTTGCGCCGCGTGTCGGGCTCTCGCTGCGTTCGAACACCCGGGCCAAACCACGCACGATAACGACCAGACATGCATTTACGGCGTGGCGCTGTCGGAGGACGCGATGCGAAACGCCATCAATCCAGCTAGAAAGAAGAGGCCCGCGTGGGTTGATACCCAGATGCCAGACGTGCTCAATTACGACCCCTACAGCACCGCCCAGCACTCTGCCACATCCAATAATTTCACACCGCAGGATCGCATGGCCCACAGTTCTGGGTCGCTGTCGACGAGCTTAGGCCACGACGCATGGTTCAAGAGGAGCTGCTTCGCGGAGCGGGTTCAGACCATGGTGAATTTCGGGCAGCGGCGGGACGCGACGATGCAATTTCGCGGGGTGGAGAAGTCATTGGTGTGTTCTGACCTGGCTTGCTTGGTGCGCGTGAATCCCCGGTCCCGCCTCGATGCCACGGCGGCCGTGCAGGCGTATGAACATTACGAGAAGCACTTGCGCCGACGCGCAGGCACCCTCGGTCTCGGCTCCGCGGGCCTGCTACTGGAATTTCTCCTCAACGTGGTGCTGATGCGGAACACGCTGGGCGATGCGGTGCGGGCGGCGCTCGCCGAAAAGTCGTGGGTATGGCTGGAGGTCGCAGACGGCCGCTGGGTTAACCCGGAGGTTCTCCACGATTTCGCTCACGCCACTGGCTGCAAAGGTTTATTCGGTGATTATGTGAACCCCATGCGCACCCGCGGTGAGCGCCCCGTGCATGGATTCGCCGATTTGCTGGCGGACTTGCATGCGTTCCAAGCCGTCGGCGTCGATCTTGTCTCGGCTTTCGCCGGGGATTTGGACGTGCCAAAGTTTTTCGAGGGTCTCCAGTCGGTCCGGGGACACAGCGGCAGTGGGTTCAGAACCAAAGAATTCTTTACGCTTCGCGTATCCCCACCAGCCCATCTCACAGCAACAACTCTTGCGAAGCATGCCGACAGTCGTGTTTTTCAGGCGCGTGTCCGCTTGGCCCCGCACATCTCCCCTGTTCCTCCTTCCTCCCGCCTCCTTGTACATCCTCCTTGTGGGGGGAGCGGGAGAAGGACGAGGCGGAGGAGGAGGGAGAGAAAGCGCTCCTCGTGATTCGAGTCGTTTGGGGTTTCTCGTCCTGGTGTGAGTCGTTCGGGCCCTTCTTCCTGGTGTGAGTCGTTCGGGCTCTTCGTGGTGTGAGTCGTTCGGGCTCTTCGTCCTGGTGTGAGTCGTTCGGGCTTCTCGTGGTGTGAGTTGTTCGGGCCCCTCGTCCTGGTGTGAGTCGTTCGGGCCCCTCCTCCTGGTGTAACTCGTTCGGGCTCCTCGTGGTGTGAGTCGTTCGGGGCCCGCGTCGTGGTGTGAGTCGTTCGGGCTCCTCGTGGTGTGTCGTTCGGAGTCGTTCGGGCGCCTCGTCCTGGTGTGAGTCGTTCGGGCCCCTCCTTGTGGTGTGAGTCGTTCGGGCTCTTCGTGGTGTGAGTCGTTCGGGCCCCTCGTCCTGGTGTGAGTCGTTCGGGCTCCTCGTGGGGCCTCTTGGGGGCCTCTTGGAGCCTCTTGGGGCCTCTTGGGGGCCTCTTGGGGGCCTCTTGGGGGCCTCTTGGGGGCCTCTTGGGGCCTCTTGGGGGCCTCTTGGGGGCCTCTTGGGGGCCTCTTGGGGCCGCTTGGGGGCCTCTTGGGGGCCTCTTGGAGGCCTCTTGGGAGCCTCCTGGGTGCCTCTCGGGACCATCTTGGGGCCTCTTGCGACCTCCTCAGAAGCGCAAGTGAGAGCTGCCCCCTGAGAAGGACAAAATGAGCCCAAAACCTTAGTAAAAACAATGGTTTTGCTATGAAGGAAGATGAGCGCGGCCCCCTCAGGACGCCAAAATGGGGCCCAAACCGTAGTAACATCAATAATTTTGGCTTCAAAGAAGAGCAGAGGGGCCAAACGGTCTCCCCCCCTCGGGACCAGAATCCTCGTGAGGGTCGTCGTTGTTTTGGCCCTCCCAGGAGCCGAAAAAGACCCCCCTGCCACCACTCGGCCCGCCCTCTCCAGGTCCAGGGGAGGGGGTAGGGGGAGGGGTAGACCCCTCCCCGAAGCGGAAGATAGGGGGGTAGGGGGTTGAGAACAGAGAGAGGTCGCTAAACCACTCACGCCCAAAGGGCTGGTGGGATTATGGTGCGATTTCGTGGATTGCCTGTCCCACGCCTTGGGCGGGGACCTGAGCGGGGTGCAAGAGCAGTATACATTGGTCACTGTAATCGGAGTGGGGCCTTGCAGGACGGCAAATCCCACCGGCCCTTTGGGCGTGAGTGGTTTAGGGAGCTCTCTCTGTTCTCAACCCCCATAACCCCCTTATCTTCCCCTTCGGGGAGGGGTTTACCCCTCCCCCTACCCCCTCCCCTGGACCTGGAGAGGGCTGGCCGAGTGGTGGCAGGGGGGTCTTTTTTCGACTCCTGGGAGGGCTAAAAAACGACGACCCTCACGAGTATTCTGGTCCCGAGGGGGGGAGACCGTTTGGCCCCTCTGCTCTTCTTTGAAGCCATAATCATTGATTTTACTACGGTTTGGGCCCCTTTTTGGCCTTCTGAGGGGGCCGCGCTCCTCGTCCTTCATAGCAAACTTATTGATTTTACGAAGGTTTTGGCGTCATTTTCTCCTTCTCAGGGGGCAGCGCTCACTTCCGCTTCTGAGGAGGTCGCAAGAGGCCCCAATATGACCCCGAGAGGCCCCCAGGAGGCTCCCAAGAGGCCTCCAAGAGGCCCCCAAGAGGCCCCCAAGAGGCCCCAAGAGGTCACCAAGAGGCTCCCAAGAGGCCCCCATGGGGCCCCAAGAGGCCCCAAGAGGCCCCCAAGAGGCCCCCAAGAGGCCCCCAAGAGGCCCCCAAGAGGCCCCAAGAGGCCCCCAAGAGGCCCCCAAGAGGCCCCACGAGGAGCCCGAACGACTCACACCAGGACGAGGGGCCCGAACGACTCACACCACGAAGAGCCCGAACGACTCACACCACAAGGAGGGGCCCGAACGACTCACACCAGGACGAGGCGCCCGAACGACTCACACCACGAGGAGCCCGAACGACTCACACCACGACGCGGGCCCCGAACGACTCACACCACGAGGAGCCCGAACGAGTCACACCAGGAGGAGGGGCCCGAACGACTCACACCAGGATGAGGGGCCCGAACAACTCACACCACGAGAAGCCCGAACGACTCACACCAGGACGAAGAGCCCGAACGACTCACACCACGAAGAGCCCGAACGACTCACGCCAGGAAAAAGGGCCCGAACGACTCACACCAGGACGAGAAACCCCAAACGACTCGAATCACGAGGAGCGCTTTCTCTCCCTCCTCCTCCGCCTCGTCCTTCTCCCGCCCCCCCCACAAGGAGGATGTGCAAGGAGGCGGGAGGAAGGAGGAACAGGGGAGATGTGCGGGGCCAAGCGGACACACGCCTGAAAAACACGACTGTCGGCATGCTTCGCAAGAGTTGCTGCTGTGAGATGGGCTGGTGGGGATACGCGAAGCGTAAAGAATTATCTCGTCGGGCCCCCTTTCATGCTGCACGAAGGGGCGCCGCCGAGGCAGAAGAACATCCATTATGCAGGGGGCTTTCGCCGTCGCCGCCTTGCCCTCGCTCGCGCTCGGTCGCTTGCCGACAGGCGGCGCGCGCGCGGGGTGGCGAGCTCCGCAGCGACTGGCGCGCGGCGGAGAGGAATGCTGTCGTCTTCAATGCCGCCGCCTGTCTACCTACGGCGTGCTGGGAGCGGTGCGGTCCTCTGGTCCTCCTGTCCCCCCAACACAGTTCGCGCCGCGTCTTCGGCGGGGCGGCTCCTCGTGCCTGACACCTCCACGCAGGTCGGCGGATCTGCCAATGCTTCGGTATATCATCGAGTGGCTGCGGGACCACCACGGCGATTTCTACAAGAGCCGGAGTGGACATCCTGTACGAATTATGTGAATACCAGAAGATACTCCGATTTTGGTACTTGGGCATCGGCACCACCTATGTTCCAGCAAAAGGTTTGCCGGTGTCGGTTTATGTGTCGGAGTTGCCGCTGACGCATGCAGAGTTGGTGGCGTTCTGCAATGCTTCTATCAGGCTCGGGCCATCGGGCCCAGAGTTTGTGCCAGAAGACTGAAACGGAAAACGCCGCATTCTAGCGGGGCGGTCCAGGCAGAGGAGCAAAGGGGAAGGGAAGGAAACGGAGGACGGCGGAGGCGACGGAGAAGGGCGCGGGGGAAAGAGGACGATCGGGGGGCAAGGGCGGGGGGAGGGGGGAGAGAGGGCAAGGTTGCGGAAGAATGCGGAGGAGGATGAGGATGAGGGGGAGAATAGGGAACGGGGAGGGGCGGGGGAGGGGATGGGGGAGGGGGAGGAGCAGGAGGAGGAGGAGCAGGAGGAGGAGGAAAGGGAGGAGGAGGAGGGGAGGAGAGGGGAGGAGGAGGGGGGCTGGCGACAGGTGCCGCCGACCCCGAAGAGGGACGACGACGGCGGCGGCGCCGCTGGCGACGGCGAATGCGCACGTATTCCAGAGTCCTCACGGGAGCCTCTTGGGGGGTGCTCAACGGCTTCTGGGGGCTTCTTCGGGCTCCGAAGCTCAGGGGTGACAAACAGGAGGGCGAGGGGGGCGGGGGAGGTGACCGAAAACGGCGCGGGCTACAGAGCAGGAGGAGGAAGAGGAGGAGGAGGCCGATGATGATGACGAGGAGGAGACGACGACGACGACGAGGAGGTGATTGCGGGGGGGGGAAGGGGGGGCAGGAGGAACAGCCGCCCGTGGGCGAGGCTCAGGAACGCTACCAGCAGATTGTTTCGGCTTCCTAAGCGTTTAGTACGGCCCAAGAGGCATTTCAGGTGGGCATAAGACAGCCCCACCCCCCAAGCAGGCTCCCGGCCAAAGAAAAATAATCCCCCCGAGACGCCCAAGGGGCATTCAAGGTGCGCGAAAGTATGCGAATTCCGCGCATGATTTTCCAACTTGAATTTGTTATCCAGAAGCACGAAACGCTCGCAAAATTTTCAAAACATGTTTTTTGATTGTCCTGAACATTGACGCCGCGACGCCACTTAACCGACCTCGGGTTTAATGTTTCAGCGCTGCATGTCCAGGAATTGCGTTTTCAACGTTTGGGGCAGGGTTTTCAATGGGTTGCGTTTCTTGGGACAGCCTCGCTCCATCGATCCCGGCGCTTTCGGTTTAAAGGTTTCCCGTTGCTTTCGCTTCTAAGACCAAGTTGTTGCTTTTGGGAATCGGCGTGCCGAGGCGGTCTTTTAACGCTTTCGGGATAATTTGTACATGGAGCCAGCGGCGCCCGTGGAAACCCTAGGGCGGGTGCCCGGTCCCTTAAGGAAACTGACGTACTACAGGGCGCGCTTGGTATTGGGAGTCCTGGCTGCGTCGATTTTCATGAGAATGTTTCGACCGAGGTAGACGTTGTGCTGTTTTGCGCCATGACGTGACTTCTGGCAGAACGGGATGGACTGTGAATCTGGGTGCCCGGGTTCGCCGGGATCAGTCGAACCTGGTCGCGTTCGTTTTCGATTCGAATGAGAATGTGTTGCGGCGGGAACTTTACACTAACGTTGCGCGCGGCGCAGAGCGCGGTCAGGATCACAAGGTTCAGCGATCGTTTCACCTACATTCTCTTTTCTGAAAGACTAATAGATTCTACCCCCCCCCCCCCGGACTTATCGGTTACCCCGCGCGTGCTGTAAATTACATATGATTCTGACCACATGTCCATCCTAAATATGAATTCATACTATCCCAGCCAAGCCGGTATCCCCCCCCTGCGGTTCCCTTGTATAAAAAACACTATGCGGTGACATTTTTTGTTCTAACATAACACATTTTCGCGAATCCCTTGCAAAAAATGGGGCGAAGTGCGCGCGCGCGCATCGTGGCGCGCGCGTGCCGAAATCCTTCAAAAACCTTCGGTGCCGGAAGGATTTCGAAATCGAGTTTCCGAAAAACATACAAAAACACATGGCTTCGCAACACTGATTTGCTAAAAAAACTTCCGCGTGAGGTCTTGCGAAATCTTCAGAAAACCATCGGTTTTCAAACATTTTCACAACATGCTACCAAACGGGTTTCGCGCGCGCGCATGTCGAAATCTGTCGAGCGCCCTTGCGCGTGTGCCGTCGCGAGAATCCTCTGCAAGAAATGAGACGAAGTGCGCACGCGCGCGTCGTCGCGGGCGTATGCCGAAATCCTTCAAAAACCATCGGTTTCAGAAGGATTTCAAAATCGTGCGTCCAAAAAACCTACAAGAACCCAAGGTTTCGCAACACGGATTTTCAACAAAAGCGTGCGCGCGCGCTCTTGCGTCGTCGTCGTCGTCGTCGTCGTCCTCCCTCCTCCCTCGTCGTCGTCGTCGTCGTCGCCGTCGTCGTCTTCTGTCTTTCCTCGTCGTCGTTGTCGTCGTCTTTGGCGTCGTCGTCGTTTCCGTCGTCGTTGTCGCCGTGGTCGTCCTTCCTCCCTCGTTGTCTTCGTCGGCGTCTCGTCGTTGTCCCTCCCATTTCGTCGCCGTCGTCGTCGTCGTCGTCGTCGTGGTCTTCACTCCTCCCTCGTCGTTATCCTCCTCCCTCGTCGTCGTCGTCCGTCGTCGGCGTCTCGTCGTCGTCCTTTCATTTCGTCGCCGTCGTCGTCGTCTTCGTCGTCGTTGTCATCGTCGTCGTCTTCCCTCCTCCCTCGTCGTTGTCGTCGTCGGCGTCGCCGTCCTTCCTCCTTCTTCGTCGTTGGCGTCGTCGCCGTCTTCCCTCCTCCATCGTCGTTGTCGTCGTTGTCGCCGTCGTCGTTTTTTCTCCTCCCTCGTCGTCGTCTCCGTTGGCGACGTCGTCGTCGTCTTCGTCGTCGTCGTCGGCGTCGTTGTGGTAATCGTCGGTGTCGTCGTCGTCGTTGTCGCCGTTGAAAACATTGGAGACGTCGTCGGTGTCGTCGCAGTCGCTGTCGGCGGCGCCGTCGTCGTCGATGTCGCTGTCGTCGTCGGCATCGGTGTCGTGGCCAACTGCCATGTGGTACCTACCGTCACGGTCTTGTCTGAAGAGGTCTTGCGACCAAGTTGCGGGTGGGAGGGTGGGATGTTTGCACGAGCAGTGGAGAGGACAGCTTCAAGACGGTCAAGATTAATTCTCCTTTCTAAAAGACTAATAGATTCTACCCCCCCTGGACTTATCGGTTACCCCGCGCGTGTTGTAAATTACATATGATTCTGACCACATGTCCATCCTAAATATGAACTCGTAGCATCCCAGCCAAGCCGGGTTCCCCCCCCCTGCGGGCCCCTGGTAAAAAAATACTATGCGGTGACATTTGTTGTTCCAGCATAACACTTGTTCACGAATCCCTTGCAAAAAAAAGAGACGAAGTGCGCACGCGCGCGTCGTGGTGCGCGCATGCCGAAATCCTTCAAAAACCTTCGGTTCCGGAGAGATTTCAAAATTGATTTTCCCAACAACATATAAAAACACATGGCTTCGCAACACTGATTCAAAAAAACTTACGCGCGAGCTCTTGCGAAATCTTAAGAAAACCATAGGTTGTCCAAGATTTTCACAACATGCTACCAAACGGGCTTCGCGCGCGCGCATGTCGAAATCTGTCGAACGCTCTTGCGCGTGTGCCGTCGCGAGAATCCTTTGCAAAAAATGGGACGAAGTGCGCACGCGCGCGTCGTCGCGGGCGTATGCCGAAATCCTTCAAAAACCTTCGGTTTCGGAAGAAGTTCGAAATCGCGCGTCCAAAAAACCATAAAAACATACGGTTTCGCAACACGGGTTTTCAACAAAATTGTGCGCGCGCGTTTTTGCGTCGTCGTCGTCGTCGTCGTCGTCGTCCTCCCTCCTCCCTCGTCGTCGTCGTCGTCGTCGTCGTCGCCGTCGTCGTCTTCTGTCTTTCCTCGTCGTCTTTGGCGTCGTCGTCGTTTCCTTCGTCGTTGTCGCCGTGGTCGTCCTTCCTCCCTCGTTGTCTTCGTCGGCGTCTCGTCGTTGTCCCTCCTATTTCGTCGCCGTCGTCGTCGTCGTCGTCGTCGTCGTCGTGGTCTTCACTCCTCCCTCGTCGTTATCCTCCTCCCTCGTCGTCGTCGTCCGTCGTCGGCGTCTCGTCGTCGTCCCTCCTATTTCGTCGCCGTCGTCGTCGTCTTCGTCGTCGTTGTCATCGTCGTCGTCTTCCCTCCTCCCTCGTCGTTGTCGTCGTCGGCGTCGCCGTCCTTCCTCCTTCTTCGTCGTTGGCGTCGTCGCCGTCTTCCCTCCTCCATCGTCGTTGTCGTCGTTGTCGCCGTCGTCGTTTTTTCTCCTCCCTCGTCGTCGTCTCCGTTGGCGACGTCGTCGTCGTCTTCGTCGTCGTCGTCGGCGTCGTTGTCGTCGTCGTCGGTGTCGTCGTCGTCGTTGTCGTCGTCGAAAACATTGGAGACGTCGTCGGTGTCGTCGCAGTCGCTGTCGGCGGCGCCGTCGTCGTCGATGTCGCTGTCGTCGTCGGCATCGGTGCCGTGGCCAAGTGCCACGCAGTACCTACCGTCACGGTCTTGTCTGAAGATGTCTTGCGACCAAGTTGCGGGTGGGAGGGTGGGATGTTTGCACGAGCAGCGGAGAGGACAGCTTCAAGACAGTCGAAGTGGATTGCACCACATAGATTGCACCACGTAGGTGGGCACCAAATGCGATGCATTACATATTTAGCGGCCTTCGGCACTTCCCGCCACCTTGCCCGAGTTGTGGGTTAGAGGCCTCTTGGATGTTCGTCGGGATGTCGTGGGGAACCTCACGGGGGCCTCTTTGGAGGCAGTTCGGAGGCCTGTTCGAGCGTTTGGGAGCATCTTGGAGCTTATTGTTGGGCCTTTTGGGCGCCTCGTGAGGCCTCTTGGAGGCCTCTTGTGCGATACTTTATCAAGACTCCCCACACGAGGTGGTCCGTCCGAGGTGGTCCGTCCACGACGAGGTGATCCGTCCGAGCCGTC